ATTGTATTTCACGCCCTCTCTTGAAGAAGGGATCTGCTGGAACCTCTAAGAAACCCCATGTGTAGAATTATTTGAGTGCCTGATGTCACAAGAAAGTGAAAGTTGAAAATAGGTTGAAGGGCTACTTCAGCCTATTTTCAACTTTCTTCATTTTCTCGTTTCATTTCCCCCTCATCTTGTATTGTTTCTACCTTGTTTCTTTCTATGAAGCCCTCTACTTCAACCTAATATTAGGTGCTCTCTGCCCATATTCAGTTTTTCATGTAAGTGGAACCACTTATGCAATGCTCCATTCTTGAGAGGGCAAGTTTCAGGGAAGAGAGCAACTTGTCTCTCCTTCTTGTATGAACTAACCATATCATTTATTCCAAGCAAGATATGGAGAGGACCATGTAACCAATACCTGTACATCACTATGAAGAGGGCATTTCATTCAATATGAAGTTCAGAATGCATCCATTCAGCTAAAAGTTTATCCCTGAATTGGCAAGATGCTTTGGTAAAGGGCATAATCCTTTAGAAATTGTGACTCATGGAGCTTCAATGTTTAGCTTTCAGCAACTTATTTTTATGCACATGAGATGAGCTGACTTCATTTTGATGCGGTGTGCTAAATCAGTTGTTATTAAGAGTAATGAAGTTGAAACACATGTGGACACTGCAACAACACCTATTCAAAAATATGGATTATCCAAGGAGCAGAAGCAATCTGTCAGCAGCAAGGGGAGCCTGTATTGAACGATTTTAATGAGATGTAGGAAAGAAGGAAGTGAGGAATGAGCAGAGATAAACAGCAACAGGTAGGATGCAGAGTAAGGATGTTGATAGATCTTGGATAGGGCCTTCTTGGAAGACAGAGGTAAAGTACTTCAGAGTGAGTTTTTTGTTCGACCTGATTAGGTTTTTGGGCTGGATCAACATGAGGTTTCTTACAGGGATTTTGTTTTCATTCCTTTTTCTGGGCTGATTAAGTAGCAATTGCCATTTTCTACTTGGGTATCTCCTCCTTATTCTTCATGTTTACCCCATTCCTTTTCTCCCTCAGTCACTACTTTTGCTTCCACTTGGGAAAACTGCATCATTCCTGGAGACTAGAAAATGTTTTCAAGTCAGGGAATGCTTTGATTCTTTTTTCCCCAAGCATCTACGTCGACTTGGAATCTATTTCTTGATTCCAGTGCAAATATGTTATTTCGTCATGTCTAAAATGATTTTCAGTAGTAATACTGATGATCAGAAGACCACCTTGGATATCAGTAGGCTAATTGCACCAGTTCACCAATAAAACCTGTGATGAAAATTTGGGAGATTTTTTATTATTATTAATGCAATAAATCATGAGTTGCATGCTTTCTGTAACATGCATTGATCCCACATCCATTTCACCAGCCACCAATTGCAGTGACAAGTGAAAATATGGCCTTTGCATGGAACATGGTCAAGGAGGACAATCAAATTACAAATGATGACATTGAGGCACAACTTGGGTTTGTGTCAGCAGCAATAAATGGGATTCTGGACGGACTGCTTGACCTGAACTGGGTCTCAAGTCTATGATCTCTTGTGATCTCAATTTAGGTCAAAAGGTGGCCAGGGTTGAATGGTGTGAAATTGTGTTATAGAAGTTCAACTTTTGGTCTTCAGAAGCTGTATATTAAATCGTGAAGCGAGATGAAACATGGATATATCCACCTCATGCACTCACCTGTCCTGCAGTTTAAACCTGGGCCCATATTACTACTTTTCTTTCCAGGAGTTGAACTTATTTCTTTATGGACAGCATTTTCAGTAACCAGAAGAGATAGATACTAGATTATTTCAGTGATCTTGGGTATCTCGACATAAAATTGGCAAAATTGCTTAAAGAGATGTTTCACGAGGATCAGAAAGAGCATCGATGCTCAGGGTGTCCACTTCAAATAGGTGTATGAAGATTGAATGAAGCCATTTTCTGTTTTCACCATCTGGAAACATATAGGGTAACCACATATTACTTCAAGTCAGAGAGAGGCAGAATATGATATGAATCCCTGCATCAGCATTTATATTATATCCTAAATTGCTGCTAAGATCTCCTCATTGTTCGAAGCAAGCCTTTTCCTTGCATGATGTGGTCTCATGGGTTCATAGTTTAGAGATGTCTGTGAAGTAGCACCACTAGGAGCACTTTCCCAGGTGAATGCAGAGTTGTTAAATTATCATCTGCAATTCCCCCTTCTTGCCATCCAATGAATATTATTTGGCAGCATCGTTCCCAATGAGGGCCTTCAACTTCCTGTTGACACCAATACAGCAAAAGTACAAGATATCCCATATTTCCTTGAGGCAAGTGAAATTTCCCAGAGGCAACTACTGAGGACACCTTTGGGTTATCAAATGTGGGACTTCTTAGTTTTAATTTTTTTTCACTCATTGGAGAATAATGGTGAAGATGGAGGGTAATCCTTTGCTTGAAAACCTTGCTATAAGAGACACATCTCATTGGGAAGATGTTTCTCTTTTTTGTGAGAAGTTATCCAGGTTCATGGATGAAAATATTTTTTACCTCTCATAAGCTGAAGTATGTGCTCCATTTTCCAATCTGAATAGTAGTGCCCAGATATGGTGGTCACACATTAATGAGAATATAATGGAAAAAACTGAAATTAGGATGGTAATTTTTTTTACCTTCTTTTCAACTGTACCCAGTACAAAAATCATTTCTTCTTCCCTGTACAACTCAAGCTGATAAAATTGATAGGAAATGATGGAGTTTCCTGATCTGGCTATGTGGGAGACATCTACCATGAAAGTTATGACCTAACTGAAGGGGACAAACATGACTGAAATGTCCCATAGACAATCTCCTGAATATCTCAAAAAAGCATTCAACTTACGATTCTTAAAAGCAACTCTCATGGGATATCCAGATGCATTACATCAAGGATGTCTTGAAGATATCCCTTTCTATGCATTGGTAAGAATTCAACTGAAGATGTCTGAAAGGCATATATAAGATAAGACAAAGACATTCATTTTTGAGATGCTTGAAGCAGTCTGACCCTAGGATGACCCTAGTTCACCCTAGGATGTCCCACAAAGACTTAGTGACAAGCTATCCATTTGGGGATATCCCAAGGATGTCACTGTGGTGTGTGGGAATACATCTCAAAATCATCTCTGCCTTTTGTTCCATGAATGGGGCTTCAGCTCGCTCTTAGCACTGGGTCCTTTCACCAACCATCCTGCTGGTGAATTTGAGTTTCATCAGGATTGAGTGGAGACTTTTGATGCAGTAAAGTTACAGGATGCCATATTCAGTGAATAAGGTGGGAGGATGATGGCAGTAATTGAGTATTATACTAGAATGCCTGGTGCAGTCAAGGTGCATGCATGTATTGCTGCAAGCATCACTTTTACTTTTAAACTTTTAGTGTGCTATTTTGTTTTTACAATCGAGTCATTCAATGTATTCACTGAATTGTAGAGTGAAAGGAGAGGTGAGGCCACAATCTGAATCTTTCCAGAGACTTTTGAGTTCCCCTCTTGTCTTCCATTTCCTGTTATGCTAATTTTGGGTATTCTCATTGTAATATATACATTTCTTTTCCTTTGAAAGAATCTTGCATATATTGAAGCTTTCATTGAAATTTCATTGATATTTTTGAAAATGATCATACTGTGGAGGATACCAATGGAAGAGAATTAAATCCATGAAATGTTCCTATCCACTAGTGCCAATACACAATTAAGTTTTCTTTCTGAGTGAGTCAGTTTTTTTGTTGCCTTCTTTTAAATTCATCAGATTGCTGCAGACTTTTGTGTTTGAATCCCATTGAAGTACACTCATGAAGAACTTAATTAACATAATAACTCATTTATTGATACTATGCTTCCAATATTGCTTTGAAGTCATTGATTTGCTTTGGGTAAAAGTTCAATTTTTTTAATCTCCTACTCCTGTGTACCTCAGTACAGTTTTAAGACCTCAAGAATAGTACTCATTCCTCCTGAGGCAGGTCCTTAGTTGCTTATAAGTTCATTTCTGTACTTCTTTTTGGTAATTGATCATTTTAAGTACATTTTAGTACATAAAGCATTAGGTCTGCATTGTAGACACCCACAAAATGCATACTATATTGGGTGATGTCTATAATTGTGCCCACCTAGTACAAATTGGTCCAATTGTCATTGGCCTATGTCAAGGATTCGTCAATCTTTTAAGTCTAATGTGCAAACTCACTACTGATCTAACTTTGTGACCCAAATTTTTTTTAGAAATGATTCTTTTTTTTTCTTTTTTTTTGCCTTCCCCTTTAAGGTGGCTGCTTCTTTGCACCTCCCTTATCCAACTTTTCAGTTGGGGTGAATGGGAGGCTAGTCACAAGCACTTCCATTTATATTAGAAATGATTCTTTTTTTTCCTTTTTTTTTGCCTTCCCCTTTAAGGTGGCTGCTTCTTTGCACCTCCCTTATCCAACTTTTCAGTTGGGGTGAATGGGAGGCTAGTCACAAGCACTTCCATTTATTTTACATTTTTTTATTCCTTCTTTCTTCATGCTGGTTTGTTATCTCGTTTACAGCATGACCACATTTGCAAATTCTGACCATTTCCAGAAGGGTATCAAAGCTGGTCCTATGCTGGTTTCCAGTTGAAAATTTCAATTTAGGCTTAAAGTTATTTCAAAAAAGTTTCCTGCTGGAGTCAAGTTAAACTAGAGGATCTTGATCAACTCAGAATTAGTTTCACTTTAATGGTGCTTCTCTTTCCTCTCATTCATCCTTGACATTGATTGTTCACAAGAAATCTATGCACTGTGAAAACCATATGAAGGGTATAAATGTTAATGAATATGATAATGATATATTTAATGTCCTAAAGTTCGGGTTGTCAAGAAAACTGAAATCTAAAGCAGGCAATCACAAGTGAAAAGTGAAGGATGGAGGATAGTTCTTATCTTTCTTTCTTGCTTGTGATATTGTAGTTCTGATGGTCCTCTGGAGGTGACCCCCCTCTTCAGAGTACCCCACTTTCCGGAGTGCGGGGATCTCCAGAGAGTTATCAGGAAAAGTATCTGGAGATGTTATCTGCGAAGGTTGCGATGTTCGGAGAGGTTCGTAAGAGAGACCTCTATGATCGGTAGCAGGAAGTCCGTCCAATAGTTATCGTTGACTCCAAGGTGAAGACTCCTTTAAATTACTCAAGACTCCGGGTTTATATAAAAGGGTGCGTAATTGAACACTACGCACAATTTATTATACAAGAAGACAACAGGGATAAGTGAATGGGGTTAGTGGCAAATAACAGCCTCACGCTGATGAGGGAGCCTCA